CTTCTTTCCCAAACTTTGTGCAAGACATGAAAAAGAACATGTCCTGTAGAAAACTAGTATAGCCACTCTGAGGAGTTTTGTCTTCTCCACTATTTAGAAATTCTTTTGGTATAGTTGAAGTACAGACCGTCAAAATTTAAGAGACAGAGATCTGATTTTTCCTTGCAACTGTCAGTTGTCTGTTCATGCCACCAGTGCGAGAAACAGGAACATGGGAGACAGAAATGTTTCTCCTGATCAAAACCAAAAATCATATGATTGCTGGAGTTTCTCATGAAACCTACCTCCACCTAAAGAACTACGCTTCTAATGAAAAAAAGAGAAATAGAAATACAGAGATTTCATAAATGACAGTGCTCCAGATTTGTTATCTTTAGATAAACTAAAGCCACCATAACCTACTATGTTATTCAAAACAATTTAAATTAATTTAGCAATAGCGTTTACACTACAAAGCTTAAACCAACCATTAAAGTAACTTCGATTCTCTTTCAGGGCCCACAGATCCCACAGGAAACCTCCTTAAGAGCGAACAGAAATATCTGAAGATTCACTGCTGATTTAGCCAGCTATGAGCTATTGTCAAAAACAGAGCAGCATTTGTGTCCCTGCTCTTTATCAGGATACAGAAAACTTAAACCCTACTTAAGCCCAGAAGTGATTTTTGCAATCGCCTCACACATTTATATTCTTTATACTAGATATCCAGACTGTCCTAACCAGATTCAATTCCACTTACTCATGGAAACTAAAGATTCTGAAACCACACGTTCTGAAACCATGTCCTTAAAAATCTGACTTTTATTTCTTCTCTAATGAAGAAAGACTTTTTCAAAAATTGATTACCTGGATTCACCGGTCATGGGAGCAGAAAACAAAAGGAAGAGCACAGATATTTTTCACTACCATCCCAAAGTAGAAGAGTTCCTAAGTTAAAGGATAAATATAATTTATTTGGACATACGGAGTTTACTTTTGCAGAGACCAGAGTTGTTAACACATACTAGTAATGGCTGAATTTTCACACATGCATCTCATTTTCTTTCATGGCCATTGACATTCTCTGTTGGTGTTCTGTGATTAAATGCTGTACCCAATAACGCTCCCTCTTAGCCCAGTTCTGGTAGACACCACTGACCCAAATTCAGGATCTCCTATAGTGGTGTCAGTGTTTGCTCAGGTGTCCCTCTGTTGAACTTTGATCGAAAAGATTGTTTAGGGAGAGTAGTGAATGCTCTTTTTTGTGAGAGACAATACGATCAAGGATGCTGGAGAAAGGCCCCGAGAATATGTAGAACAGGTTACAGTGATCAAAGTTAGAAAAATACAAAAAAGTAATCTGAAACCATTGGTACAGTCCTAACACAGCAAAACAGGCACACTTTCCTTGAAAAGCAGTAATTCGTAATTTATTTAGATGTCTCAGCTAGGATTTTCCTCTGCTTATCTGATTCTTCAAGTCTAGCTATGCCACAATGCTGTAAGTGAGAACGGAGAGCCGATGCCGGTGCGGCCTGTGTGCTCCAGCACCTGGGAACAGACTAGGGGATTTTTAAAAAAATCTTGCACAGCTCCGCAGTGTCCCCATGGCCAGTTTCAATCACCTGAAGTCACCAGATGGACACAGCATTCCACGCTGTCTTTTCATTTTCCAAGTGTCTTGAATTCAAACTTCCAGTGCATGTGAGTTTTCCTCTTGTTTGCACTGAAACGTTTTGTTGTTATACTGCACATAACATATCAACCCGTTGATATTCTTTTAGACAGAGTCTGACCACATTCTTGACATTCCCAAAGTTCTGAATGGTCCCACCTTGTCATAACTTCCTATGGCACAAGTACCATCAAAATAACCAAGAACTGACCCTACAGCAGTTGATCTGGAGCCTCACAGCCTTATCCCTATACTAAGTAACTTAGAGCTCCCTCACTTCTCACTCTCCTTTTTTCCCTTCAATAAATAATAATAATATTTAAAAAAAAGACTGTAACTTTATAAAGTTGATTTTTAGAGGACATTTACAATACCATCTATTTGTGTTAGCACCATCTGACAGAGCATACAGGGATACTTAATGTGGCAGATGAAAGCTTCCTGGTTTATTTATGTTGGCCTGAAGCCATTTGAAAGTTTCCTCATTCACTGGAAGGAAGGGAGGGTGGGGAGAGGCAGAAACGATGGCTGCTTGGATTTAGGTGCCCATAACGAACATACTTAGTCACTTTTTTCAGGGAAAATCTATCTTGTGGCAAATGCAGAGTCCATTACCACTATGGGTAATAGCCACCCTTATTTTCGCAGTAAACGTTAAATTTGGATTGCTGAGCATCAAGCAACTTTCTGGCCTTACACACACAGAGCTGTGATTGAAAGAAAGAAAATATATTGGTGCTAATTACAGTTCCCTGCGAATACTTGCCCCCCTTCCCAAATATTTACACAAGTTTTTTCATCTCTGTTATGACACAAGTAAGTATCAGAGTTCTGAAGAGCTAACTATTTAATAATACAAATGGTTGTATCTCCCTTCCAACTTCACTACACGCTCACTTTGCTCAGTACTGTCTGCCTTAGAAATTACCATATGGAAGATGCAAGTGAAGCTTCATTACAGATGTTTCCAGATTCTAATCCCGTTTGCCTAGAAAGGAGACTTCCACTGAAGGGGGTGACAGTGGGCTACAACACTGCGATGAGCATTCTCATGTTTCCATGTTTCTATAGGAGATTAACCACTGCATTTCAACCTCTCCTGTCTGTACAGCTGTCTCCAAAATATCTAACTGTAAATAATTGTTTGGCTGCTGTAAGGTCCTGGTCTGATTGGTCTGGGAATGGTCCAGTTTCTCACATCCAGTTTCTCACAGCTGGAGACAGTGCAGCTAAGTCCCAGGAAGAAAAACTACTGATATCCTTCTCAATAAAATGTACTTCAATCAAAATTGCTGTTTGAAGGAAGAAATTACTCATCTAATGACAGAAGTAGCTACTACTCTGCTTAATAATTGCCTAATGTTCTTCTATTGAAACATAAGGGTTTAGGCTCCTTTAAGTCATATGCAGCTTGAAAGAATTAAAACTGTATATTTTTTTTTCCCCAAACTTAATCTGTGCTGCTTTTGGCCCCAGGCTCCATTTTCCTCTTTCTCATGGAATCAAACTCACCATAAAGCTAGAAGTTATATCCTCAGTATCAAGCATCATCTAGAGAACTACACAAACTAACAACTTGCTGACTAATGACTGGCAATGAATTCAAGTTTCTACCTGTAGTTTTTGGCTTATACCTTCAACTGAAAAAATAATGGATTGCTGACAGGATTCCTACTTCCACCGTAGCTGACACCTCTGCTCCACTCGAAATGCTCACCACCCTTTACTTTAGAAAAGGGGAGGTCAGACATGCAAAGCACATATTCAAGGACTCTTGGAAGTTTTACACACCTTCAGCCCCTACTTCTTTTCATCAAAAAATTTTGTAGGAAGTTCTTTACCAAGCCCCTGTTGCTTCCTTTTCCTGCTTTTTAGTTCCTAAAACATTAATCACAAGCTGAAGCTTTCTACAGCCTAAAGGGCGTTCAGTGAAGAAAGAGGAACCAAGCTATACTGGAGGCACCAATTAACCCAGCAAACTGCCAACAACATCCTAAAAGAAAGAGCACTAGAAATGGTTTTCTACCTGGAAATGGTCAATGTGGACATAAAACATTAGAAGGTGTAATAACATTCTGGACAGGTACACTTGAGGTGTTTAACAGAGTGATTATGACTGTTTGCATCAGACTGCTATCTGTATGAAAAGGTACTGACTTTGATGGTATAATTCAGAAAAATTGTGGATCAAATTTCAAAATTGAAATAAAAAAATCTTTTTTAGGAAAGACTGTTTGGGGAGAGAGTAAGGCAGAACACAAACATTCAAAGGAGGATAGGGATTTTTCTATTACTGGAAGAAAGCATTTATCAGACACAAGGAATTCAGGGAGGTTCTAGTATAGCATTTGCATTAGAATCTGGCAAAACAATATTCAATGTGCAACATAGGCTAAATAATTTAAAGGATTTTTAAATTTAAGTTTAAAGATAAAGAAATACTGCACATAAGCTTCCAATGTATTGTCAAGGTTGGATTGTTTGTTTTTATAAGAAAGAGCTCTAACTTTTTTGAGTCCTGCTTTTAAAGATTAGCCCAAAGTTTTACGTTAGGAAATCCAACAGTTAATGAACAGTTAATGAAATTATGACTTTAAGCTTGTTATAGCACTTATTTTCAAGATTCATTCCTAAAATAGTCATTCATTTGTAAGATACTAAGTACAGGAAAGTTCACTCCTAATAAGTATTAATATATACATTACTGAGTACCATTTAAAGCTTCAGTAAATATTTTAAAACGAGTGTTCCATAGAAATAAATAAAAAAAACAGTAAGGAAAACAACTTTAAATCTTCAACTAAAGAAATAGAAATTGTCTCCTCATAAAACTTGGTCTAAGATTTTAAACTGAGAACTCATCTCAAAAGCATTTTTTATGTTCCAAAGATTACGGTACATATCTGATAGAATAAATACAAGGAGTTATCATAGGAATCCTGATTTTTAATCTAGAACTAAAAACTATGGTTATAATTAAAGCTAAAAACTGTGAAAGTACTGTCATGGAGATTAAACTACTAATAGGCACCTACACACAACAATTTCCTTTTTATCTCTCTCTTGTACTATAGAAATTTAAGAATTTATCCCAGTTATGGTGTTCTAAAGCATACCTTTCCCCTAGCCCAATAAATTAAGGTAGAACCAAAAGACTTCACTAATATTTATGAGCTATCATTAAACCATTTGAACAACTCTGCCTTCAAGGGAAGGCTTAATTAAAGGGTTTGGTGACTACATTTTACATCAAAGCCACGTGAAACTCACATTGTAGCAAGATCTGAACTTTGAATTTATGTGGTGTTTTTATGCCTGAGGTTACCAAAAATCACATCTAACATACCTTGGCAAAAAAGACTGTGAGGTGTGTTTCACTGCCCAGTATCCAAATGGGAAATTTCGGAGATTTCAAATAAGAGCCAACCTTAAAAAAGTACAACAAAATCAGAAACACAAAGCAAACCCAGAAAACTCATCTAGTTAGTGATCAAGTTAATGACAATTCAGTTAGCTAAGTCCTAACTTCATTCAACGTATTATAGCAGTTTTCAAAGCAATGACAAAACAGCACAAAATACTTAAGATACTAATTTTGATCACTGATTCCTGTTTGACTTGGAAAACAACACAGCTTATAATAATTAACTGAAATAAGACATCAGTGAGGAAGTGGTATCAACAGCATTCCTAATTTCAACCTTGGAGACGTGCTTCAAACACTGCACACAAGTACTCCTGGGCTTAACAATACTATAATTGAATGCGAAATGAAGTCGAAGTCCATTGGACTTACTAGCTGGTTTTGGATTAATCAATTCAGAACTGACACTTATTTAATAAATGAAGGGACAGTTAGTTACAGTCAATACACCAACACTCTGCAAACTACATAATACTCTTTAAGGACTTACTAGCTGGTTTTGGATTAATCAATTAATAAATGAAGGGACAGTTACAGTCAATACACCAACATTCTGCAAACTACATAATACTCTTTAACCCTGAGCTAAGTTAAAGGAATTCAACAGAGATTGAAAAGGAAGCAAAGCATAACCAAAAAGCCTTTTGAAAAATAAGAGAATTAATGCTGTTTCAAAAGAAGTATCAGTAAAGCAAAACATTTCTCAAATAAAAGCCTTAAATCAAGAAATTCTGTGTCACAACAGGAAGAAACAACATGGATTAGGCTGCACTTTAGTTACTTTCAAACACTTACAGATGAATACATAAAACGACTTTTAGGTCTTGAAAGTATTATGTTCAGAATACATTTACTTAATAGTAGTTTTACCATTTTTATCTGTGGCTATTTATTTTAAATGGAAGACAGTGATAGCATAAAAAGTGAACAAAAAACCTGCAACATTCACAGCAGCAAGCCACTTTCAGAATTGACAGTTTATAACTATTTACATAACTTGCATTAAACATTATTTTAGTAAAAACATAAGTGTCTAACCAGCTGTATTAAATTGGTGCATTAAAGTCCTATTTGAAATAGCAAACAACTTTATTCAATAATATACATTTAACAATTTTATTATATTTCTGATATAATATAGTCTTATTCTCAGTTTTAAATTGAACATACTTTGAAAGATCTTTAATATCTCCAACTGTACACAGTGAAGCTTTAAGTAATACTGTCAAAGAAGCCCACAAAACCTTAATGAAAGAAAAATTTTAAATGATGCAGAAAACAGCTTACCTTACAATATCTCAGAGATTCCATCAATGTCAAAAAACCTACTGTTGCCTGTTTGTGTATACCAAGAAGTTCTGTTCAAAACAAAACACACAATTTATTCAGGAAAAATCTGCAAAGCCTCTTTTAGGCCATTTTTTCTTACTTTCAAAATTGGTCAAGTAACAACAATTTTAAAAGTCCTGTGGTTTTAGCAACAACAGCAAATCCTGAAGGTATAGCTGGAAAACTACAAAGGTTTATTAATTTCCCTGTCTATAAAATAAGAGGAGCCAAAGTGATGGTTTTAAAAGTTTACTGTTGGTAGCCTCTTTTCCAAAGTTGTTGGATTTATTAGGAGATGAAGTACTTGTTACTAACACCAAAATTATTCTCAGAAAACGAGCTACCAAAAACCCCATATATATGCATGTATGTTTCTACTTTTGCCTTTTTTCTTTTTAAGTGTTCCCTGGCTACATTTATCTTAATCATTTCACATTCTGAATAATAAAATGCAATTTTGCAAATAATTGTTCTGTTAATAGGAAAGAAAGCATTCACTCAATTTGATTTACTGTACTGACTTCCATTTAACGTATCATCCGGCTCTCAAACACACACAGCTGTCAGGAAGAGCTGAAATATTTATGTACTACAGATTGGAAGAGCACTTACAGAGCCTTATTTGAGGCTCACTAATAAAGAATGAGAAAGCACTTAGAAAACAGTTATAATCATAAGGATTTGAAGAAGCTCTGGGCTTACATATGCATCATCTCAACAGTGCAAGTTCTGTCTACTTGAAACAGCTCTACTAGGTCCCTAAACATTGGCTAAACAAAGAGTGACACGTACCTGATCCTGCAAATAAACGTGAGAATGTATGCCATGATCAATTCAACAGGAGCTGTATTTCCTTTCCACAGAGAACATTGACTTTCATATTTGAAAGTTCCTTCTAAAACACTAATTCTCAACTATATTTTTTAACATCGATCATTCGTGTACAACAGCAAAAAACTACGACCAACTAAAGCCTCAGGACCATTGCAAGTGAAAGGAACTGTTCCAAATTTAAAAGATTTCTTGACTTTCAGAAGTCAGCTCTGCATTTCATTGTAACTCACAGCACTAGGCAGAGCATGGCATGTGTCCTTCACCAACTTCAAGTTCACCCCTCTAAATCTTGCAGCAGTGCAGAACAGTTATTACAGTAATGGTCTACCTTTTCCCTCTACTGATAAGCAAAAAAACCCACCCCAAAACAAAAGCATCACAACTCCAACAACCACCCAAAAAACTTAAAACCAGTAGCTTGTTCATTGCCTTTGTGGCCTGAAACTGCAACTCCTTCCTTAGAGTTGTCAGCTATAGATATTAAAAGGCTCTTTGCAGTGCAGAATTCTTTGATCTGGGCTTTCAAGGATTACCTTCAAACTTGCTTGAAATTAAAACATTCGGGGGGTGCACAGATAATACTTTGCAGAACCCCAATACCTCACTGACTTATAGCTGTGCTACTATAAATTGCCATATGCTTCATGCTTTCTTTGAGCTGAGGACAAGAGAGCTAGCCCAATTAAACAACTAGTGAAGGATCTTTCAAACTAGGGAATAGCTGTTACTCAGAAATAGCACATTGTATGTGCAATGAAGAGAAACAAATGGCAGAAGTAAGCTATAGTATACTGAAGAAATAATTTTAACACATCACATGTATTTCTGAAAAATCATTAACAAAATAAATGTAAAGTTCAGTCTGCTAAACAAAGGCTTCAGATTTAGGAGCTGATGTTGGAACAAAACAGCAAAGTCACATATAAATAATATTTACTATTCAGGGAAAAAAAAAAAAAAATCAGACTATGAAGTATTTTTTCCCCTGCCAGGTGACTAGATGAGTTAATTTTTCCTTTTTTTAAAAGTGCTTTCGCAAAGTACTCAGGTTTCTAAAAAGGGAGAAAATCAGAGCCTTTAACAAAAAATCAGGCCGAAACTAAGGGTGGTTTTAAAATGTACCGGTAGTACCAACCGTAAGAGACCACCGCCACCTAGTGACAACAGGAACCAAACTCCTGGCACTGCTCAGAAAAAGCTGTTACAGCATTATTTGCATTCATATTAAATTGCTACACTTCACATAAGAATGACAGTCTTTAAAAAAGGGGGTGGGAAATCTACTTCCCCATATCTTGGGGAAGAGAAGGCTCCAGGGAGACCTAATAGTGGCCTTCCAGTACCTGAAGGGGCTACAGGAAGGCTGGGGAGAGCCTGTTTAGAAAGGCCTGCAGTGACAGGATGAGGGGCAATGGCTTCAAGCTGGAGGGGAACAGATTTAGACTGGAGATTAGGAGAGGGTTCTTCACTGTGAGGGTGGGGGAGCACTGGAACAGGTTGCCCAGGGAGGTGGTTGAGGCCCCATCCCTGGAGATATTCAAGGAGAGGCTCGACGAGGCCCTGGGCAACCTGGTCTAGTTGGGGGGGTCCCTGCTGACTGCGGGGGGGTGGGACTAGATGACCTTTGGAGGTCCCTTCCGGCCTGGGCAATTCTATATTTCTATATTTCTATATCTTCCTACTGTGTATAATTGCGGCAAGAGAAGAGACAGGAGCAAGAAGAAAGGTTTGAAGGGGAACATGAAGACAGCCAAAGAAGAGGGATCATTTCACCGGTATTTGTGCTGGTGGTGGACAAGACCAATTTCAGTTAATAACTCCAGCTCCATTTGGAAAATATGCAACACTGTAAGAGTCAGAGCTCTGAGTATAATCTGCAAACTAACTGGTAATTCCTCAAGTTTATAATTCAGTATGTTCTCTGTCGCTGACAAAATTACTGACAGTAACTTTAAAACGGCTTTAAAATAAAGATTTACTTATTAATTAAAAATTGCTTCTCTAAAGAGTTGATCAAGAGGCAAACTGTCTTCACATAACTTCTGAATAAAAGCGTAAAGGCAAGTGCCATTCTAAAAATTCAATGTAGCAAATGTGTTTACTGGTAATAGCAGCATCACCCATCCAGCATTTTTCCTGTTCCTGCATCGCACCTGAATCTTCTCACTGTTGCTTCACTGCTGCCCCTGAAAATACACCCTGAACCACATCACATCCACAGCTTTCTGCCGTTCTTTACCACCACCTTTCCCCTGTGCCCAGGGAAACCTTTCCTGCCCCTCGGTTTCAGCAATTACAGAATCACAGAATCGTAGTGGTTGGAAGGGACCTCAGAGATCATCGAGTCCAACCACCAAAAAAAAAAAAAAAAAAACACAAAAAACCCACAAAAACCACCACCCACCACCAAAACAAAAAACAACAACAACCAAACCA